CAGTGTCCTCTCCCCAAGGAACTCAACCCACTTCCCCACCAATGCCTCTTCTCCCTCCGTCACCCAGGCACACTGGGATCCTCCAAAGGAAACTCATGCTAGAGCGGGAAGGATTTGGAGATCCAGAGGTTGGGGAAACGGCAATTCAGAATAGCCTGCCCTGTTTACTACAAAAATGGCCCTCGCACCACAGCCCTCACTCTGAGCATAAGCAGGGGGACAAGGCCCATCGGCCATATCCAGCTCCTGTAAATGCAAAGAAAGGTGACAGGGTACCTGTTTCATTCCTCAAAGGGGCTGGGGGTGTGGGGGTAATCAGAGATGGGGGTTGACGTGCAGAGAGACACACAACGGAGAAAGCAGAACGCTGCGCAGTGACCCTGGGACCAGAGTGTGACCCTGCTGCTACGGGGTGCACGAGTGAGACCCCCTGGGCTAAGTACCCTCTCTGGCAGCCCTGAGCGGGTTAAGGACTCTTGAGTCCGGCCACCAGGCTGGCTCTTCAGACAGAAGGGAAGAGGACAGACCTCCTGGAGCACCAGTAGCCTAGGAAGCCAGACCTGGTGTGGGTGAGGTGGGATGTGGTAGGAGCCCAGCCTGAGGCACAACACGTCCAGAAAGCACTGGATTGGGCGGGGGCGGGGGCTGGGACTGGAGAAAAGACCCAGGCTGTGGGGCTTGATGTGGGCAGTTCATCCAGACCAGGAATGAGGGGAAGGGGTGGGGGAGGGCAAAGAGGTGAGCCACTCCCTTCTCAACTTTCTTCCAAAAAGAAGTGACAAGGGAAGGGGATTCTTCCACACCAAAGGGTAAAGGGATACGGGACGAGCATGAGGACAGGTTTTGGGGGGGCGGGTGTCTGCAAAAGAACTGAGAAGAAACACTTGAGGAAGAGCAAAGACCAGGGACCCCCGGAGCCCAGGGAGCTCAGGGCTGCGCGGAGCAGGCTCAGAAGTGGGGAGGAGTACGGGCATCTGTCGCCAGCTTTCTCTGGGGTCAGCTTGAGGTTGGGCTGAGGAGTGCTGAGAAAGGGGCAACAGGGGAACCTGGAAAGAAAAGGGGCGTCCAAGTGGGAGACAGGAGATTCCCATCAGGAAATAAGGGCAGTCACAACGAGAAAAAAAGGAGGTTCAGAGCAGGAAACAGGAAAGTTCCCAGAGGACGAGAATGAGGAGCTTCCGAACAGGCGCCAGAGTCCCACCTCTGGGCCCCAGGGCTCGGGCCTGGCCTCCGAGGAGACGCGGTGCCGGGGGGCCGGCCGCGGCGGGGCTGGAGCCGAGCCGGGTCTGGCCGGCGGCCCTACCTGGTACACGGAGGCCTTGGGCAGGTCCAGGCAGACCGTGCAGCACAGAACCGAGTAGAGCCGCTCCTCCAGCTTCCCGCTGCCCGCCGCCGCCGCCGCCGCCGCCGCCTCGGCCGTCTCGGCCGCCCGTAGCCGCTTCTTGGGCGGCGCATCGGAGTCGCCCGCCGCCTCCTGCAGCTGCCGGGCGCCGGCCAGGCCCGCCTCGTCTGGGATCCCGGGCCCCGCCGCCTCGCCCAGCGCCGCCGCCGGCCCCGCAGACGCTCCGGCCCCGGCCCCGACCCCGACCCCGGCCCCGGCCCCGACCCCGGCCGGCACGGCACCGGCAGGCCCCGCGGTCGGGCCGCCCCCGCCGGCCTCCTCGGCGCCGGACATCGCGGCCGGCCGGCCCGGCGGGCGGGTGCCGGCGCGCTCCCGCGGCTAGAGGTTAGGGGCGCCGCGCGCTCCCTCCGCCCTCTCGCCGCCGCCGCCGCGACCCCGCAGCCCCGCTCCCTGCGCCGCCGCCTCAGTGGGTTCGGCCCGCGCGTCGCCCCGCAGCCGCCGCGGCCACCGACCCCGGCGCGGCCGCCATCTTTGTTTTCCCTGTACGCTCCCCCACCCCGCCGCCGCCTACGCCCCCTTGTTCTCTCAGTCACGTGAGCGGAGCGAGGCCAATGGGAGGGCCGCTCGGGGAGACAGCGCGACGGCCAGAACCAATGGGCACACGAGGGCCCGCCCCTGGATAAGGTGGGCGGGGCCCCGGGCGACCCGCTGAGGGGCGATCTTTGGGGCCCGAATAGTCTTGGCGTCAGGGCTGAGCGCGGTGCTTCCCGCCAGTCCGGCCCGGGACCACACGCCTTGGGTGCCCCGGAACGGAGGGCAACCTTGGACCCCCACGTCCAGATGTGCCTGCGCCTTTGTCCCCGGACGCCCAGGCTAGCGTGCGCGGGGCTCTGGCCTGGCTGGCCGGAGCGAGAAACTGCCGGCCACCTCTCCCCTCCTGTGCGGGAAGAGATGTGCTTCCACAGGACGCGAGTGCAGGGACTCCCCAAGGGAGGACTCTGGACCCGGAATCTAACCCACTGCTCTGCCCGATCCCGTTTCATAACCCTGGGGTTGGGAGCTGAAGAGGCGTCCGCTGAGGAAAGCGAGGGTCTTAGGAAATCAGGACTTGCCTTGCACAGGCCGGTGGGCAAACGGGTAGAGGTCGAGTCAGCCCTGGGAGGGGATGTACATTTCTGGGAACAGCTGTGGTGCGGCCCTCCCCTGCCCCCACCCCAGCCGGCGGCCGGTTAAGGTCACCGCCCCATAGGGCCACCAGCCAGACCTTGCAAGGATATTCAGAACTCCACCGTGTTCCAGGAGAGCAAGGGCTCCTGTATCTGCTCAGTCCAGGGGTCCTCCTTACAAAGGTGCCGGCAGGCCAAGTTGAGTGAGGCCCCCAGGGCTGGTTCCAGCACATTGCCTTCCTTTGCTCAGGGAAACCAGTTGCTGCCCTGGGAGCCTTAGGAAGCTCACGAGGCCCTCTCAATCCGACTCAAGAATAGGCAGAGTCCATATTCCTGCTAAATCCCTAAGGTTTATTGGAGACCAAGCCTCTCTCTGGATCCACAACTATGGCCCGCCCAGAATCAGGCCCCGAAACATGCCCGGGACCCAGTCCCCCTCATTTTGGTCTAGGCAAGTCCTCACACTGCGCTAGAGAAGGAGATAGTACCCAGACTCTGCCCCCTTACCAGTCACTCTGCAGCAAGCTGGCTTCGGTTGAAGGAGAGTCTCTCCCTAGAGGAGGAGGCCCTAGGAGCAGGACCATGAGGGGAAAGTGGTAGCCAGGGCAGAAGCCTCGCCTTGCTGTCCCCAACCATCACCCCCACTGCAGGCGCTGTGTGTGCAGGGCCCTGTGGTAGGCCCAGCTGCCTCCGGCCAGGGCCCAGCGACAGACGTCCTCCTTTGGCAGCAGCAGCAGTCTGTCCTCCTCCAGCCGGCTCAGGAGGCCTGCGGCGCCGAGCATCACCCCCCCCAACATTCCATAAGTGTTGGTCGTGAAAACAGCCACAATAAGGATGGTCACTGCGACCACCAGCACCACTGCCTGCCCAGCCACAGAGCGGCCCTCAGCACCAAGGTGCTCACCAGCCACTGCCAGGACCATGCCTCCTCCCAGGAGCAGGTTGGCGGAGGAGCAGTCCCCATTCACCCAGTGGAAATCGAAGGCCAGGAGGGGCAGGCCAATGACAGTGGCCACCCAGGCTCCAGCAAGACAGTCTTCATCTGTGCCCAGCCCTGGGGCCAGCATGGTGGCAGCAGCCAGGGCCTGGAGCAGGAAGCCAGCAGCGGCCCCTCGATTTGCCTGTCAACACAGGGAAGGGAGATGTGGGGAAAAGAGGCCAGGACCTCCCTTTAAACAGGGAAGGGTCTGAAGGTCTCACAGAAGTCGGGCCCCCACACTTACCTCCCACCACCCTCTAGGGATTTGGGAGTGGGCTATGCCCCTGACCGGCCCCAGTGTACTCACCTGGGCAGTGCTCAGGGCTGCATACAGAGACACTGATCCCAGCGCCAGGTGGGACAGGGCGGAGCTCCACTCGCGCCCTGGCCTGGGGGCCATGACACGTCGGGCGGTAGTGAGTCTGAGGGAACGGGAAAAGGATCCTCAACTTTGGAGAAGAACGTAGAAGCCGGCGACAGGGGGCCCTAAGGGTGTCTCTCCAGGATTCCCAGGTTCCAGAACCCCATTTCTAAATATTGTTATGGGCTCATCCGAAACTCACAGGAGCCCTGAGGCCACTGGACACAACCTTTGGGGAAGAAGAACCTAAATCCGCCGGGAAAAGACGGTGCGGGGCCTGGACTGGGTGGGCGTTAGCTCTGGCGTTCTGGAACCCAAGTCGGCGCAGGGCCTGGGGGAGAGGGGCGCAGGGCCCCACGCTCGGGGAGCCGCCGTCCTCGGAACCCGGCCCGGAAAGAGCGACGGCGCAGGCACTCAGAGACCGCTGAGCTGCGCGACGCCGGCGCAGCGGCGAGCGGAGGCCCAAATCAGCCCACCGCGCCGCCCTCTGGCTGCCGCTCCGCCTCCCGCGCCGGGTGTGCGAAGGCCCCGCGCCAACCAACGAGAGGAGCGGAGGCTAGAGCGGCCGGAGGGGGGGGCGGGGCCGGGGCGTCGCGGGCGTGGAGGAGAGCTAGACTGGGTTGTAAGAGTGGGCGGGGCTAGGAGAAGGGGTCTCTGCTTGGTACTGGACGCACACGCCCGCTGGTTTGGGGGAAGGGAAGGGGCTCGAGGAAGGAGCCGTGAGGGGAGGGGCAGTGAGAGGTGGGGTTGGAGGAAGGGGCGGGTCGGAGTTGGAGGAAGGGGCGACGAGGGGAAGGGCCGAGGAAAGGGTGGCGAGAGGAGGGGTTTCTAGGGGAGGGGCTGAGGAAGGAGTGGTGAGGGAGGGGTCGGGGAGGGGAGAGGGATTGGAGGAAGCTGCGGGGAGGAGCGGGGCATTGAGGGGAGGGGTTGGAAGAAGGGGCCGAGGAGGACGTAGGGCGGAGTTGGAGGAAGGGGCGGTGAGGAGAGGGGCTGAGGAGGGGGCGGGGCCGAGGAAGGGTATTGAGGGGAGGGGAGGGCGGTGCGGGGAGGGGTTGGAGGAAGGGGCCGAGAAGGAGGTGGAGGGGAGGGGTCGGAGGAAGGGGCGGGAGGGGAGGGTCGGAGAGGGGAGCGCTTGGTGGAAGCGGCGGTGAGGGGAGGGGCCGAGAAAGGGGCTTGAGGGGTAAAAAGGTTGGACACCTGCGGGCGGAAGGCTCTGAGTGGGTACAGCCGCGCGGGGGTCCTTCGCAGAGGACGGGTAGGGATTCTGGAAGAGGAGGTGCGGGGCCGTACCGAGGGGGCGGCCGCCAGAGCATGCGCACGGGCTCTGCAGCGGTCGGGCGCGGAGTTGGGGCGCGGGGACGCGGGGCGGCGCGAAGCGGGGCCCTCTGCCGCCCCGCGCTCTCATGTACGCCTTCTACTCGCTGCTCATCTACATCTTCTACAGCCTCTTTCGCAGGGATGGCGGGGCCGCGGCGGCCGCCGACCCTGGGAACCCCGCCCAGGTGAGCGGGGGCGGGCGCAGCTCGGCCTGCGACCCCCTTCCGGAGAACGGTTTTGCAGGCCGGCGCTGCGTAGGTCCCGGGGCGCTGACGCGGGGGAGGGGCCGTGCCGAGGACCCCGTCTCTGGTGTTGGAAGCTGAGAGCCCGGCTCCAGCCCCTCGGGCTCAGTTCTCGGAGGCAGGGAGCCCCACGGGCTGCCTGGCCTCGCCTCAGGGACTCCCCCCCCGCTCCCTCCCTAGAGTGCCCGCGGCAAGCCCGGGGGTCGCCGCCGCCCCGACCAGCCCACCGCAGAGCTGTGGACCGAGCTGACCGGCCTGGTCGGTAGGTACTGTTGGTGCATCGGGAGTGCTGCGTCTCCCGGGGCAACGAGGGAGCGCCGCCGTCCGAGAGATGCAGGGGTGCCCGTGCCTTCATTGGGAGGGAGGGAGCTGGCAGGTGCCGGCTAGTGGCCTAGCATCCGACACGTGACCCAGCACGCCTACCCATCCCACTGCCTCGCAGGCTGCTCGGAGTCCGAGGATGGGCCGGGAGGGGCAGCGGAGGGCCGTCCGGCCGAGGTCTCACTGGAGGAGGCTCTCGTGCGTCTTGCGGAGTTCCTCTCAGTCCAGCTGGGGGCGGAAGAGAGCTTCGGGAATTCTGCCGACCTGAGCAAGGTAAGCAGAGTTGAGATTTCTACGACAACCTGTTCTGTGTTCTGAGGCCTACTGATTTCCATCCATACGCCTGTATCCTCTCCACCTGGCCCCCATCCTTTTCCACTTGGATTTCTATTTCTTTCCCAGCCTGGTGATGTTCCCCCACTGTTGACGGTGACCGGTCAGCTCTTGGCCCTCCTGGCATGGATTCGGAGCCCCAGGGGGAGGCAGGTCCTGCCCCAGGCGACGCAGCCAGCCTCAGGGGTGCAGCCCCCCACTCCTGCTGGTGCGTAAGGAGTAGTGAGTTGAAGAGGGAGTTTGTCCAGGGAGTGACGCCCACCAGAACCCTAGCAGCCAGATGTGAGGTGTCCCTTCCTTCAGGCCAGAGAGCTCTTCTGTCCTGACTGGGTCCACCCCACCCCAGGATCCCCATCCCAAGAAGAAAGCCCTCCTGTTTCACCAAGGGGTGAGGCCCAGGGGCAGCAGCCTCCTCAGTTAGAGGAGGACCAGAGAGCTTGGCAGCGGCTGGGACAGCTTATCCTTGGACAGGTGAGGGGCCCAGGAGGCAGTGGGGGGTTGGGGGGGTCTGGAAGGGGACTGGAAGGAGGCGTTCCACCCGGTGCTCTTTCCTCCTTTCCAGCTGGAAGAGCTGAAGCAGCAGCTGGAACTGCAGGAGAAGGAGCTGGGCCAGCTGCGTGTGGGAGTGGTGAGGCTGCTGGGGTGGGGGCTGGACAAGGGGGACATGAGAGGGTCTCAGCCTCCAGGTGAGTTTTGAGGGCTTCCTTCTCTCCCAGGGGGCGACAGACTCGGAGAAAAGGGTTCAGCATCTGACTCTGGAAAACAAGGCCCTGAAACAGAGCCTGAGCCTTACTCGGGACCTCCTGCTGCACTGGGGCCCCGCCCCCCCCCAACAGGGCCCCGCAGGTATCCTGCTCCTTAGCTGCCACTGTCCCTGCAGCCCGGGGCTCCTGCACCCTGGTCTCTAGCAACACCGCCTGGGCTTTCTCAGGACTTTGCGCTCACTGGAGCAGAGGCAGGGAGCCCCCTCTGACCCTTCAGACCTGAGGCCCGGACTGTGGGTGGCAAATGCATGGTAGCCCCTTCAAGGAGGCTGATGCCCATGGGAGAATCCCCTCCTTTCAGTCCATGGTTTCTCCCAGTGACTGACTCCAGGAGAGCAGAGAGACGTGGGGAAAGGAGCCCTGCATGGATTGGGAGGCGGGTGTGTGACCAGCTTTGTGAGCCCCTGTCGACTTGACTTTCTCATCTGTAAAATGGCGCAGCTGGAGTGCCCCTTCCTGAGTTTCCTCCTGGCTCCACACTTCAGCTGCCCCACTCCCCTTGCAGGAACAGGAGGAGGCAGAGGCACTGCTGGAGCTCCGGGGCCGGCTTCAAGAGGCCCAGGACACCACAGAAGCTCTCCGAGTCCAGGTGGGCTCTGGGCCCAGGGGCTGGGAAGTCTGGGGCTCTGGGGAGGGGGTGTCTGAGGCAGAGCCTGGTAAGTGCCTGTTTCCTCAGTGACAGGGCTGGGGTTGGGTGGGGCAGCTAGGGGTGCAGGAGGTGCAGCTTCAGGGCCTTCGGGGGGCCCTCCGGCAGCTCCAGCAGGAGGCTGAGCAGAAGTGCAGGAGGGAGCTGCAGCAGATGCGCGGGCAGCTGGCAGGTAAGGGCTGGGCTCCGGAGCTCACGGGAAGGCTGTGGGGTCTGGGCTTTCCCTCACAACAGCCTTCCTGCCCCCAGGACTTCGTGCTCGCATGGCCAGCTTGCGTCAGGGCTGTGGGGATCTCCGAGGACTGGTCAGCACCTTTACCCAGAGCTGCCAGGGTTCGCTGAGCGAAGCCCGGGGCCAGGTCAGGACCACTCGCTCCCCTCCCTTGCACTTGTTCTCTGTGCAGCCTCGTCACTGGCCTTCCCTTGGGGAACCCCTGCTCTCCCTTCCTTTCCAGCCCCAGGGTCTTGTCTCGTCTACTGCAAATCTTAGGTTCTGGAACCAGAACAACTGTGTTCTGTGCAAACTGGGGTGACGGTGAATCCCTCACAGGATTGCCAGGAAGCCCACGGTCCTCCTCGGGTCCCTGAGCTCCATCCCAGGCCCACTGAATGACGCCCCAAGGGTCTGAAGCCACTGAAAGTTGTGGATCCCCACAGCTGGGGGCCACGTGGTGGATATTGCCCTCAGCACCCCATCCCTCGCTCTCTTCCCACTGCCTTCCCCTTCCTCACCTTTCTGTGCCCCCAGGTATCGTGGGCCCTGGGGGCACTGTCAGCGGGCGGGGCTGGGACTCAGCTCCTTGAGGCACAGCAGGGGCCCCCAACTGGATGCCCAGGGCGGCTGCTGGAGCTCAAGGGTATGGCAGGCTTGGGGAGAAAAGGGCTGGGGCAGCAGAGGTGGGGGACATGGGGGCTCTCCATGCTTCAGGATCTGGGAGGCAGCCCCCTGATCTGATCTCCACCCCAGGAAACATCCGTGTGCTCTGTCGGCTGAGGCCAGGGACACCCTCCAACTTGGTGAGCTTAGAGCCCGGCCCGGGTGGCACTGTCACCACCTGCTATCGAGGGCACCAGCGTCGCTTCCGCCTGGACTGGGTCTTCCCTCCACACGCCAGCCAGGAGGAGGTGATGCTCCACCCTTTCACCTGTGTCAGCTGTCACTCAGAGTTCCCTGGAGACCAGAGAAGGCTCCTGTCTGTCTGCCCTCCCAGGAGAGAGGGCGGCTGGACTCCAGCAGGGAAGGGGAGGGAGCCGGAGGGTCTGGGAGGCAGGACTGGTATGCTAGCTGGGCACCTACTTTCTTTCCAGGATTTCCGCTTTGCATCCCCCCACCAAACTCTGCAGGCTGGGGGGGACAGACTTTATGGCTTAAACAGGAAGATTAACATTTTCAAAAGTAACTTTGTGCCAGGAAACGAAGGAAAATGAACACGTTTGAGGTGATGGTTACTCAGGGGGCTGTGGAGCATGGCTGGGGTGCTGTTGTTGTTGTGAGGTCAGTACTGTGACCTCCTTCCCGCAGGCTTCACTGACTGCCCACTCCCCTGGCCCAGGGTCCAGAGATGGTCAGCTCTGAGGGTGGGTAGCTCTCCTTGTTTCGTTGGCAAGGGGAGTGGGGGGGCACAGGTGAGCTCCCAACCCCAGCCCCCCGCTGCCTCGTTTCCTGCACACTATCTTCACTGCACACCAACTTGCAACTAGAGCTCAGGAAACAAGGCTGAGAGCTGGGAGGGGGTGAGGCGAGGGGCAGAGCTATCAGAGACCCAGACCTGTGCTGGCCTCACGGGGACAGACTGTGATGAGAGTGCCTGGCAGGTACTCCCTTCCTCACTTTTTGGGGCACTGCAGCCGTTTTCCACCTACCTTTATTTACCCCCCATACCACCCCCACCCTGTCTTCAGCCTCCATCCCAACTGCAGCCCTGAACAGGGGCCCCTCGTCTACTGTCCTCTGGGTAGCCTTCCTAGACAGGGTCCTCCACTTCTGGCTGAAAGAGCCGAAGGGCTGTTACTGGGCTCCCTCACCTGTATTCCCCATCTCTGTCTGCAGTAGCGCCCCCGACGCTCCTTTCTAGTCATGGAATCCTAGCAACCTCACTGGCAATTCTGGATTCTGCCCTTGTAGCTGGCAACCAAAATTTCAAAGAGATCTGACAGCCCAGTGGTTACCCGCCACCTGGGCACAAAAGCTGGCCGACTGTGTCATTGCTCAAGAGGCTGCTGCTGGTGTCCAGTTGCCAAAGGACGCAAGTCCCAGCTCCATCTCCCCTTCACCTGCCTCTCTGCACCTTCCCAGGGCCTGACTTCCAGGATCCTGGTTGCCCACCAGCCTCCACACATGGGACCCTCTGGGTTCATCTTTCATGTGCCAAGTGCTGCACTAGTCCTCTCGGTCTGCATTCTCACTTAATCCTCACAGCAGGTGCCACTACAGCCCTCATCTCACAGAGGGCAAGATGAGTGACTTGCCTCCAGTCACACCCAGGGTTTGAACTTGGCCATCAAGCCCAGGGTCTGGGCTCTTGCCTGCTACACCCCCAAGCCTTCCAAGCAGTCAATCGTCAATCAATACTCTGCATCACCTGTTCCTGCTACCTGTCACGTCCCTTCCCTACTTTGCCTGGCAAATTCTGGCAAATGCCACCTTCTCCAGGGAGCCTCACCTGTCTGTTGGGAGATCCACTCTTCCACTGTGCTCCCCTAGAGCCAGCCTCCTTCCAGGGGAATCAAGTTTTGTTCACACCTTGCCCCAGGTCCTGGGGCTTAGGGCCCCTCCCAACCCCTCCTACTCCTAGGTCTTCAGGGAGCTGGAGTCGGCTGTGCTGTCCTGCCTCGGAGGCTACAGTGTCTGCATTTTCACCTACGGTCAGACAGGGACGGGAAAGACCTACAGCATGGAGGTGGGAAAGGGGGCAGTCTGGGTGGCTCCTGGGGCCAGTGGCTGGGATGTGAGCCCGATGAGGCACCCCACCCCCTCCCCAGGGCCCACCTGAGGACCCTGGCATAGCTCCTAGGGCGCTGCAGTCACTGTTCCGGGAGATGGGAACAGGGGGACAGCACCACGTGACCCTCAGCATGGTGGAGATCTACAACGAGGCTGTCAGGTCAGGGCCGCAAACGGTGCCTCCTCCCCGCCCGGGGCCCCAACTTCTGGCTCCGCCCCTCAGAACCCCGAACAGAGCCTTCCCTCTTTTCGCCAGGGACCTCCTAGCCCCAGGGCCTCCCCAGCGCCTGGCAGTGAGGCAGGGCCCAGCAGGCGAAGGGGGGATCCAGGTGGCTGGCCTCACCCACTGGGACGTGCCCAATCTGGAGTCGTTGCACCAGGTGAGGGTGCCCCGTGGGGCCACGCAGCCCTCCAAGCCCCCGCCCTGTACTCCCACCTGGGCCGCGGACGCCGCAGCAGGCCAGCCCTGTTCTCCGTCCTCCAGATGCTGAACCTGGGGAGGAGCAACCGGGCCACCGCCGCCACAGCCATGAACCAGCACAGCTCTCGTTCGCACGCCCTGGTCACGCTGACGCTGCGCACGGCGTCCCCATCAAGCGGTCCCGGCACCGCAGGTACCTCGGCGTCTGAGTCCTGCGGGGGGCTTCGCTGCACCCGAGACCGGGCCTCCCTCCACGCCGGGCTCGCTCGCCCCTGCAGGCACGCTGCACCTAGTGGACCTGGCAGGGTCCGAGCGCGCCTGGAAGGCAGGGGCGGCCGGCACGTCGCATGAAGACCGGGACGGCGCTCAGCGTCTGCGGGAGGCTCGGACCATCAACCGCTCGCTGCTGGCGCTGGGAGGAGTGATGGCCGCGCTGCGGGCTCGCCGGCCACACGTGCCCTTCCGCGACTCGCAGCTCACGCGCCTGCTGCAGCCCGCACTGGGCCCTGGCGCCACCGCTGTGCTGCTGCTGCAGGTGGGGCCAGGCGGCCGCGGCCCGCGGGAGGGTCGTTTGCATGCCAGGCGCCGCCCACCCGGGCCCGCCCACCAGCGCCGCTCCCCGCAGGTCTCCACGCGGCCCGAGGATCTCGGCGAGACCGTGTGCTCGCTCAAGTTCGCCGAGCGAGTGGGGCGAGTGGAGCTGGGGCCTGCTAGGCCCCGCAGGGCCCCGCGCTCCGGGACGCCCTCCTCCCTGAGCACCGACACACCACTCTCTGGGACCCCCTGCACCGCCACGCCCTCGCCCGGCAGCCCTCCAAGCCCCGGCCTGGACAGCGGCTCCAGCTCGGCCCTGGCACCGCCGGAGGACCTGCCTTCGTAGTCCTGCCCGAGGAGTCTGGGTCGCGTCTCTGCCGGCAGAGGCAGCGAAGTCCCTATTCCCCCCACGACCTCCTTGATCTCTGGGGGCCCGCTGCCCCCCAGACTCCCAGAGTCCACCCCTTTCTGTCCCGCCCCCAGAAGTGTTCCGCCTGGGGTAATGATCACACCACCGCCCCCCCCCCCCCCCCCCCCGCCCCGGCCCCTAGCCTATCGCCATCTGCTGTTATCGCCGCGCACAGCAGGGGATCCCAGAGTCGCGGAGGCAGACCCTGGCCAAGTGGCCACCAGACTCACTACCCCATCACCAAACATCAGACTTGCATTAAAATGTCGTTTGTTCCTTTACTCTTATCTTCCCCACTACCACCACCAAAACCAGGTAGGGTCTCCATTCTCCGTCCCCTCCCCCCAAAGGTGCTACCTCCTTGCCAGGCAACAGTGGAGGGGGGACAGGACTTAGGGATGGAGCGGCTGGGGTGGTCATCAGGTCTACCCTCCCCCAGCCCGGAGCCAGGGAGGGGAAGTGACAGATGGTGATGGAGGGATGGATGGATAGATGGACAGAGGGCTGCAGAAGGTGGGACCAGGAAGGGGACAGGAAGGGCTACTTCAAGCACAGCCCTGTTCCTTCCAGCCTTGCCTCTCGGGGTAAGAGAGGCATGACTGACCGTCAGGGCTGCGGTGGTGCCCAGCTGGGCCACAGCTCTTCGGGAGTGTCCAATAAACACGCGATTCTCAGCACAGCTGGTGCCTCGTGTCTCAAGGCAGAGCCACACATCCCTTAGTTTCCCCTCAACAGGCCTCAGGTGGCAGGAGAGGGTGGGAGAGGAAAGCAGCCCCTGCCCGGGGAGCCTCACAGGCTGTACCAGGAGAGTAGCCAGCCTGGGGTAGGGGCAGTCAGGTCTCGGGGGTGGCTAACCCACGCATCATAGATGCTTTTGTTGGGTGGCACCCCCTGGAAGAGGGCATCTAGATCCCAGAGCAGCCTTGGGGGGCCATGGGTTTCAGGGACCACCCCCCAATAGCCTGTGCTGGTTGAGGGGGGGCACCGGGGGCAGGAGGTGGGTGGCAGTGGGGCGAATGGCATCACCACGTTGGGAGTGTAAATGGGCAAGTAGGAGGTAGGTAGCTGCCCCCAAAGCGAGGCCCTGTGGCTTCCACCAGGGAGTCCCCCAGGGCCTGGGGTACCCTGCAGTAAGTGCAGGGGCCAGGCTCTGGGTTCAGGGGAGAGGGGCGAGGGCCTGCTGTTTCCCCCCCGGGAAGTCTCCTCTTCTGCTCTCAGGGACCCTGGGAGGGGGCAGACGGGCCACAGAGGCCTCTCAGAGGTGGGGACTGGAGTGGGTGCCTCTTCCTCCCCTATGCGAACTAAGCCTGACCGACTTGGGCTGCTCGGCGGCGCCCCCTCCCCGGAGTCCCCTAGCAGAGACTTTATGCTGAAGCCCTCGCGGGGCGGCGGCTGGGGACTGGGCGGCCGGTAGGGCCGGCCATGCAGCACATAGGGGCCCAGGTCCTTGGCGAAGGCTCCCCTGGCGCCCCTGCTCTGCCAGCGCCTGCACAGGGCCGTGTTCTGCAGCCGCAGCGCCTCGGCTGGGATCAGGCTCACGTCGACCGCCCAGAAGTTGCCCTTGGCCTGGGGCTTCGCGGGATCTTTGGGCACCTGGTGGAGGAGGGGGGCAGGCTTGGGTGGGGCTGTACGACCCCGGATACTCAGGATTTCCGCCCGCGTCCCGCCCCCAGGCTCCGACCCTCGCCCTGCCCCACCTTGCGGAAGCACCGGTTGGAGGAGAGGTTGTGGCGGATGGAGTCTTTCCAGCCCTCGTAATCGTCCCTGAAGAAGGGGAACACGGCCTGGACCTGACGGATGATCTGAAACCATCGGGCGGGCAGCGGGCGCCGTGAGCCGGGGCGCGTGGGTGGGGGGCCACGCTGCCCCTCCCCTCGCCTCTGCGTGGCCCCCCTCGCCGGGAAGGGGCCTGCCTGAGTGCTTTAGCTCTCTCCCTGGGTGCCCAGGCCAAGGACCGGCCCCACTGGCATGGCTGGGTAGGGCCAGGTCGGGGTGGGGGCCGGAGCCTGAGCCTCCGAGCAGGGGCCAGGTGGAGGACGCTTCCGGGGACAGGTCCGATCACGGAGTGTGAGGGAGAGCGGGCGGGGATCCTCTCACCTGGGCCAGCTTCAGCCTGCGGGAGGGTGCGGCCTGGATCACCAGGGCGATCATGGCCAAGTAGGTGTAGGGGGGCTTGTCATGCCGCAGGTATCTCTTCTTCCTCCTCTGGGGGTGCTGGGAGGGCGACTCCCCCCCGGGGAGCCCCAGGCGGGGGTTGCTGCAGGGCCCCATGCAGAGGAAGCAGGCAACGTGGGCAGGGGTCCGGCCGGGTGGTGGGCGCAGGGCACTGGGGCAGTGTGGTAGTGTGGTGAGGAAGAGCTGGGGCCTGAGGCCAGGCGGGGGCTGGCGGGCCAAGCCCTTTATCATTCGGATGGAAGGGGGAGGGGAGGGGAGGCCAAGGGAGGTAGAAATACGCGGTGGGGGAGGGGAGCGTGCAGAGGGCAGCCACAATTAGCAGGTTTCGGTTAATCTGGAAGGGAGGGGCAGGAAAGATTCCAGTGGGGGCTGCAGGCGGCCACCCCCCAGGCCTCATTCCTCACCGCTGGGCTGCCTTTGGCACCCCCCCTAGAGCTGTAAGGAAAAGCCCTTGGAAGGGTCTTATGACCCACAGTTACTTTATCCCATCTAGATCCCAGGTTCACATTTAACAGATGGGGGAGTGATTGGTCCAAGAGGAGCCGCCAAGAAGGGGTGGGTCCTGCCCAGAGTTCAAGGCCAAGCAGCTAGCAGGACTTGGGTGGTGGTCTGGGAGGGCTTCCTAGAGGAAACCTCAGAAATAAAAGAAGGATACAGTTGACTCAAGGGATTTTCCCACAGGCTGCTGCATGGCCCCAGAAGGCTCCCCAGGCCCTGGAGGTCACTTTCCTTCCCTCCTTGGTGCTGGTCAACAGTGGGTCCTGGGAACTGACCATAACAATAGTCCCTCATTATGCCCTGTGCACCTCACTGGTCCTGGGTAAGCTGGACCCCCCTGGCTTGAGAGAACTTCCTGGAAGTATGTTTGCCTCTCTACTCTTCTGGTCCTCTGGGTCCAGATACTCTGGAGGTTGTCCCCTGAGGAGGACGCCACTTGGTCCTCTGGGGCACTCAGGCAGTGCCCCTGGGTGGGTGTGCATGGAAGGAGAGGCCTTATAGCTGTAGGTATTTACTGGCTACCACTTGGGGCCAGGCCTTGAGAACACAGCCCTGTGGGTCATGGTGCCTGCCCAGGGGAGCCTGCAAGAACCACTTGGCATCACCCTGGGCAGGAGTGAGGACAGGTGTGTTATGTCTGGGTACACAGGGCTTCCCAGGCAGCCCCAATGCCCCGTGGCTTAGGCGAGGAGGGAGATGCTCCCCAGGCAGGAGGGGGGTAGGCCTGAGTAGAGGAGGGGCACTCTGGGAGACAGAGTGGAGGCTGAGCCTGGGGAGGCCTGCAGGGCCAGCACCCTTTGGTCAGCCCTGGCCAGAGCTTCTGAGTGCTTTAGCAGGCACGGGGCCTGGCCCAAAGGTGCGATTCTGGAAAAATGCATTTGGCAGCTGCCCGGAGACATGGTCCTCCCGGGTCCCAGACCCTTCTGTCCCCTGACCTCCTCCCTGGCCATCTAGTCTGTGGCTCTCCCCCTCAAGTCAGTCAGGGCCTGTGCTCTGTACCCTGACCCAAAGCCTGGGTTCCCCCCGGTGAGGACTGGGCAAGTCTGCAAAGGGATTATCTGGCCCGGGACACCAGCAGTGGTGGGGTGTTGCTACTAGGACCCCAGACCCGAGCAAAGCCACAGAAGCACAGGGAGACTTTCTATCGCTTCACTCTAAGATTTCGGCTTTTCTTGGGCGGCAGCAGCACCCCTTCCGAACACACACCAATTATACCCTTAGAGGGTGGAAAATCTGCAGCCTACAGTGGGTGCCCAGCTCTCACTGAGGTGCTGAGGGAAGGGGTGAGTGATGGGTGCAGTGGAGGAGGAAGCCTGGAGCTGAGATGGATGATGTATGTGGGGTACCACATGGCTCCCTCCACTATCTCAGACTCTTTCTTCAGACTTCACCTGGCTTCCTCTGGATCCCTATGTCACCTCCTCAACTCCTGTCTGTTTCCAGGGCTCTAGCTGAGGGATCCTTGTGTCTCACCAGGCGACCTATGGCTTCCTAGCTCCACTCGGTCATTAGAGAGGTCTTTTTCTCCAACAGGTCTTAAGTCACCCCCTCTCCTCCACTGGTCCTCCTGTGCTTCCAGGATAAAGCCCAGCTCTTGGTTTGGCGTTCAAGGCTCCTCATGTCCTGACTGTTCATCACTGACCGCACGTACCACCCTACCGGGCCCCCGCTCTCCTAAACCACCACCTCAATTCTTCCCACCGGGTCCTTCCACCTCTGCGCATGCTCTTCTCTACACCAGTGATGCCCCTGCTTTGTCGAGTGAACTCTGACCCTTCCTTAAAAGCTCAGCGTAAATAGATGACCACCCTCCTGGGAACCTTTTGATTACTTGCCCTTCCCGCCCCAACCGGGCCCCACCGCGCCGAGGACGCCCCTACCACAGACGTTTGCACCGTGCGGTCAGCAACCTCCCTCTACTTGCTCCGCGCAAGCCCCGCCCCCGCGGCTCGGCCCCGCCCCCCGCGGCTCGGCCCCGCCCCCCGCGGCTCGGCCCCCGCCCCCTGCTCCCACTGGCAGCCGCGGCTTCCGGCTCCGGGGCCTGCGGGCCGGAAGTATCGCGTTGCCATGGCGAGGGCCGGGCGCGGGGCCCGCCCCCGCGGCGCCGGGAGGAGCGCTAGGCTGACGGACCCGCAGACGGGCTCCGATCGACTGCGCGGTGGCTGCTGGCGCGAGGCGGAAGGTCAGGCGCGGACTTCCGGGGCCTGCTGGCGGGAGGGGAGGCGCCGGAGGTGGGAGGGGGTGAGGGGAGACGGGGAGGCCCGGGTCCGGGCGGGAGGCTGTCCAGGCCCCGCTTGGGCGCAGGTGGGTGAGGCCCGGGCAGCCGGTGCTGAGGGTCAGGAAGGCTCCTGGAGTGGGAGGCTGTGAAGGCCACCGGTAGGCTGTTCACGTTTTAGCTAAATGTGGAGTTGTTTGCAGCCTTGCAACCTGTTGGTCAGGTAGGCAGCACTAAAGTTACCTCCATGTCAGCTGAGGAAATTAAGGCCTGCGGAGAAGTGACTTGCCAGGCTTCTTTTGGGCTTTGGAGTTAGGCCAGAGGAGAAACTGAAGCCTTTCTGGGGCAAGTTCCTTAAACTTCCAGGGGTTCAAGTGACCTCACTTGTGGGGGGGATCCTGGGCTCCAGCTCACAGATCGGTGTCCGGGCGGGAATACTAGCTGCTGTGTGGTAAGTGCCGGCCGTGCTGGTGCGGAGGCGCTCGGGCCTGGGAGGGAGTATCCACGCCGGGCTGGGGCCCCTCGCCGTCCTGGAGCAGAGGCTGAGGCGACTGTGGGATTAATTTCCGTGGGTGCGGAGACGGGAGGTGTGTACGGAGTCATTCCAGGTTTGGGGAAGCGGGAGAAAGGCTGGACCTCCCCAAACCTCTGGGCCTTCCTTTTCCTCCCGGTTCTTAGCTTGGGGGTGGAGGTGCAGGGGCACCACACTGCTCTTCTCAGTTCCTGCCTTAGCTGCTCCCCACCAGGATTGGGGAGCTCTCCCTGGGAGAGGTGTAAAGGGCCTCTGTGCCCTGGCTGGGCCGCCTCATTCACTTCAGGGGCGGCAAGGGGAGCCCCAGGCTGGAGTGAGTTGCCTAAGGGGCTGGTGGTTGCCTGAAGGATCTTGTGCGGGGCTGGCGCTGGGGTCCTTGCCTGGTGGGTGTGTGGGGCTCTGAGCAGCCAGCTCCCGTACCCCGCCTCTCCTGCCCCATCAGCTCTTACTCAGAGCTGGAATGGGGCAGCGTCAGCAGGTCTGTCCTCCCTTTCTGTGGGCTCTCCACTGACCCTCTCCACTGGCCTCATCCCTTACCTACTTAGTCTGTGCCTGGACTCTGCCCTCCCCAGAAGGTTGCCTGGGCTGTCAGGCACCTAGCGAGGGGGCTCTCGTATCTATGGGCTCAGCGTTGGGGTCTGTGTTCTAGGGATTTTGAATCTCTGCTGTCTATCAACAGTTTGCCTCCACTGTGTGCAGTTTTGGAACCTCAGTCTCGGATGAACCTCTGGTGACCCAGCACACCATCTGTGCCCCAAGAGTGCCCCACCCCAGTGCCTCTGCCATGGTCCGCCTGTTCACTAAAGCAGGATGTCTGGGTGGCAGTGTCTTCCCTCACCTCCAGCGCCCCAGAACTTCCTCCGCAGTACCCCGGATCCTGGCCCTCCTGTCCGTCCCTTCCACCATATAGCCTGCTCCTGTGGCTCCTCAGTTCCGTCCGGGATGGTAGCCTTTGCTCCTGGCTGCGCTCTTCTTGGCCATGTCTCAGCTCCTCGACTTCACCCTTCTCACCTGAGCCAAAGTGAGGGGTCTGAAACGCAGATCTGATTCTTGTCCTCTCCTCCTGGAAATCCTTCCTCACAGACTGCAGAATGACATGCCTGTCTTTGCACACTAGCCCCCGTCCCCTGCCCAACTCCTGATCACCTTGCCATGTGTGTGTCAGACCACCACCCTCCTGAACTCCTGCAATAGTGGTGGAGGGGAGGGGAGGGAGTACACCTCCCCTGTCCCTTTCCAAGCTCTGTGGCCTTAGGAAAGGTCTTGTCAGCACATCAGATTGAGAAAAAAGACAGAGAAGTGAAGGAAAGTCTAGTTCCACAGACACCCAGGGGAGAGGGTCCCGGGGAGGAGAGCTTGCGCTCCACTGCCAGGAGCCCTGTGTGGGCAATGTGGTGAGGCCCGACGGCGGACGGCGGGTTCTGGGCTGCTTCCTTCCTGGGCGGCTGTGACAAACACAGAGATTGCCAGGACTGCGCGAGACCTTGGTCATTCTTTGCTCTGACCGTTGCTGTTGTGTTGGTTTTGTGTGGCGTGCTTTGTAAGTCTCACCCCCACCCACCCCCTAGAACCTCCTCCCGTTTTGGAAGGAGGAGCGTGGTGTAGTTGCAGGTGAACCCCGGGAGCCTCCAGGACTCAGATGCAGCCCCTGCAGAACCCTCCCCACTGTCAGGGAGGTTGGCATGGCCCTCGCTGCGCTGGCAGGGCCCGCGGTGAGCATTGCCGTTGCCGACAGGCCTCCTGTGTTTCCTCCGGGCTGATCTCCGGGTGGGTGAGCAATGCATGTGTCACCATCGCTGGCTCTGCATCCCAGTGCTGAGCCCGACCCTGACGCAGCTGCACACACAGCCGAGTGGTGGTCCTTTCCATCCAGCCGGCTCAGTGCCAAGCTCACCGTCTCCTGTGTCCCCTTCTGTGCCGTCCCCCAGTGCCCGGAATGCATCTGCTCCTGTGGTTATGGGTGCTTCCTGCAAGTCAGGCACCGGGTTCAGGGAAGAAAACAGTAAATTGAGTCAAAAATGAAAACAGGGTGAAGAGACAGGAGTGACAAGGTAACCACAGAAGACCTCTGAGGAGCTGATATTTATATTGAGATCTGAGGGACTTCCCTGGTGGCCAGTATTTAAGAATCTGCCTGCCAAAGCAGAGGACACGGGTTTGACCCCTGGTCCGGTAGGATCCCACATGCCACGGAGCAACTAAGCCCACGCGCCACAACTACTGAGCCCACGCGCCTGGAGCCCGTGCTCCGCAGCAAGAGAAGCCACCACAATGAAAAGCCCACGCACAGCAACAAAGAGTAGCCCCCGGCTCGACACAACTAGAGAAAAGCCCGCGCGTAGCAACAAAGACCCAATGCAGCCAAAAATAAAATAAATAAATAAAAAAATTTTAAAAAATACACTTTAAATTGAGATCTGAGTTACAAGAAGGAAAGAGCTATTCTGAGATCTGGTGGAAGAACTTTCCAGACAGAAGGCACAGCTGATGCAAAGGAGGAGTGATGATGAGGATGGTAGATCAGGGGTCTGCAAAGCTTTTTTGTGGAGGGCCAGAGAGTAAGTATTTTAGGCTTTGCAGGCCATATGGTCCCTTTCGCAACTATTCTGCCCATTTGTGGAAAAGTAGCCACAGACAATACGTAAGTACATGTGCTCTGTTTCCACAAAACTTTATTGATAGACCCTGAAACTTGAATTTCATGTAATATTCATGTGTCACAAAATATTCTTTTTATTTTTTCCCCAATCATTAAAAAAGGTAAAAACCATTCTTAGCTTATGGGCCATACAAAAACAGCCAGTGGGCTGTAGTTTGCCAATTCCTGTGCTAGGCACCAAAAAATGCCTTTGTTGTCTAACTCATTGAATCCTCATAAGACCCTTAAAATGAAAGTACTGTTACTCCATTTACAGATGAGGAAACATTTAAAAGAGGTCAAGAAACTTGACAAATCCCCTCAGCTGCTGCCACTTTAGACCCAGAGTCTGGTTCCAGAGCTCAGCTCCCAGCCTCTGTGGTACAGAGCCGAGGTTTCTGAGGTGCAGGAAGCGGTCTGGTGCTGAGTGGGAAGTGGAGAGAGGTGTGGGAGGGGACAGCAAGGCCAGGAGGGGCCAGACCACTCAGGGTTAGAGGCCAGGAGAAAACTTAGGTTGTATAGTTTTTTTTTTTGTTACATCAAAGTTTACTGAGGTATAGTTTACCTACAATAAAAGGCACCTATATAAAATAATTTGGTGGGTTTTGATAGATGTATATACATCCTTGTAAAAGCCACCATAATCCAGATGTAGAGCATTTCCATCATCCCCATTCCCTTCCCCAGGCAATCACTGATCTGCTTTTTGGGTTTTTTTGGTTGTCGTTGTTGTTTTTATAAATTTGTCTATTTTATTTATTTACTTTTGGCTGCGTTGCTGCACACGGGCTGCTTCTAGTTGCAGCGAGCGGGGGCTGCTCTTTGTTGCAGTGCGCGGGCTTCTCATTGCGGTGGCTTCTCTTGCTGCGGAGCACGGGCTTCAGTAGTTGTGGCTCACGGGCTCAGTATTTGTGGCTCGCGGGCTCTAGAGTGCAGGCTCAGTAGTTGTGGCGCACGGGCTTTGTTGCTCCGCGGCATGTGGGATCTTCCCAGAGCAGGGCTCGAACCTGTGTCCCCTGCGTTGGCAGGCGGATTCTTAACCACTGCGCCACCAGGGAAGTCCCTACTTTTTGTTTTTATAGATTCACTGTCCCTTTTTTTTTTTTTAAGAATATCACATGAATGGAAGCGTACAGAATGAACACTTTTGTGCCTAACTTCTTTGTCCAGACAGAGCGTTTTGGAAATTCACATGGCTGCATGTATGTGTGGTCCGTTCTGCCTTTGTTGCCGAATGTCTGGTACCCACCGCATAGATACACCACCGTTTACTCTCTGTGCACACACCTGTTGATGGACATTTTGATTCTTTCCAGTTTTGGGCTGTTATGAATAAAACTGCTGTGAATACTCGTGTCTACAAGTCTTTGTGTGGACATATACTTTCTTTCTCTTGGGTTGAGTTGATAGAAATGATGGTTGAAATGCGTATTTGTGTTTAACTCTATAAAAAAGTACCAAACTACTTTCCAAAATGGTTGTATCATTTTACATTCCCAGTTCCATATCCTCTCGTCATTCTTTTAAAGTTTAGCCATTCTTGCGAGTGTTGGTAGCTCGTTGTGCCTTTAATTGGCATTTCCTTAATGATGAACGGTGTTGCGCATCTTTTCATGTCCTTATTTTATTGGCTATTTGTGTGTCTTCTTTTGTGATGTGCCTAATAAATCTTTTACCCGTAAGCATGGGCCGTTTGTCTCGTCAAGCTTTAAGGATTCCTTGTATGTTTAGGACGCAAGTCCTTTGCCAGACACATGTATTGCAGAAATGTTCTCAGTCTGTGGCTTGGCTTTTCATTTTCTTTCTTTCCTTACTTCTGTCCTTCTCCCTTTCTTTCTCTCTCTCTTTCCCTTTCTCTCTCTCTCTCTTTCTTTAATTTGGCTGTGCTGGGTCTTAGTTGCAGCACGCGAACTCTTAGTCGCTGCATGTGGGATTTAGTTCTCTGACCAGGGATCGAACCCACGCCCCCTGCATTGGGAGCACGGAGTCCTAGCCACTGGACCACCAGGGAAGTCCCGACGTTTAATTTTGTTGCCAGGGTCTTGAACAGCAGATACTTTTAATTTTGATGAAGTTCAGTTTGTCATTTTTTTCCCTTTATGGTTTATGCTTTCTCTTATGGTCAAGAGGTCAAGGATCATTGTTTTCCGTGGATATCCAGTCATTCCAACACCATTTTTGAAGACCATTCTCTCCCCATTGTATTACCTTAACAGCCTTGTTGAAAATCAATCGACAGTATATGTTTGGGTGTATTTCTGGATTCCCTATTTTATATTCA